CGCAAGCTTATTTCTGCTGCTGCATCAATTTTTAAGAGATCTACAACACTAGAATGAAAAAGCACAGAATATAAGGAACATGGGGTAATTAGCCAGCTTTGAAATCTAACAGATGGGCTGATGGCCAGATGTTGTGCTCTCTGAGGAGCAAACAACCTGCTGCCCATAGTTTGGGGTGCAGAACATGGTAGTCAAAACCAGTCAAACTATTGGGGGACACAAGATGGAAAGTCCTAGTAACCGAAACTCCCCACTTCTTTGAGATGAAAAGGGGAGGGGAGACAATAAATAAAATTGTTAACATCCCAAATCAAGAGACCAAGACAACTGATGCAGAAGCGTGGATGACATGTACTATCATGTGCAACATCTCTGATTTTCTGAGGAGTAACCACTCCAGGGAGATTGGGGGCCAGTCCAATAGGTGCTCACCACTCTGTGCTCTGAGCTGTGTACACCAACACTCACGGAATCACTGGTGGCTTCCACATCAGCAGAGAAATGAATCTGCTCCCTATTTTAGTCTGAACTTTAAAAGAGTTTCCAATCTAATTTGGGGGATAGCATTACAGCATTATGGATAGTCTCTTTAAAATTCAGGCCAGCATCTGAAACAGATTCTTCACCTCAATGAATTGAAAACTACCAGAAGGAGGATGAACGACACTAGTTGTGGACAGGAGGATGTATGGATTGCCAGCCTAACATGAATGCTGCATCCCTATCCATCTGATAAACAAGGTAAATGACAATGCAGTGGGTGGATGGGTCACTTCTCTGACTAATCTGAAAATTTTCTCTCTCTCTTTTCCTTCATTCCGTGAGCAACACAGCAGAAGAGGGTGAATGATATTTGAAAACAAGAGCCAATTTGGGGGCTCCTCTTGCTCCCCAACCTGCTCTTCTCTCTCCCAGATGTTAGTACAATCTAGGCTTACAGTGGGAAAGCACAGCTGAGCAAACAGAATCGGATGTAGACTCATTGGGTCCAGCCCCTGCTCACTGCAAGACCTGAAGCTGTATAAGCAGTGATTCCAAAATTTTAATCTTCCATGTGTTTTGGCCTTCAGCTCCCAGAAACTCCGGTCACTGGGAATACTGGGAGATGAAATACAAAACACCAGGAGGACCAATGTTTTGGAACCACTGCGATAAAGCATCTCCAGCTACCTCTTTTTTGAAGACACTCAGGGAGAGAGACACCATCACCTCTCTAGGTATTTGGTTCCATTCTGAATTGCTTTTATTTCTAATATTCAGTTTAAATCACCCTCCTCCCTATAGCAGCCCTTGAGTATCTAAAGACTCAATGCAATCCTTTTGATCCCACTGGGGACCTGCTTTGGTGTCCAGTTCTGAGCTGCACAATTTAGGAAGGGTATGGCCAGTCATAGAATATAATCCTAGAGTTGGGAGAGACCTTGTGGGCCATCCAGTTCAAAGCCCTGCCAAGAAGCAGGAAAATTGCATCAAAGCACCCCCAACAGATGGCCACCCAGCCTCTATTTAAAAGTCTCCAAAGAAGGAGCTTCCACCACACTCCAGGGAAGAGAGTTCCACTGCTGAACAGCTCTCACAGGGAGGAAGTTCTTCCTAATTGTTTTAGGTGGAATCTCCCTTCCTGTAGTTTGAAGCAATTGTTCCACATCCTAGTTTCCAGGGCAACAGAACACAAACCTCCTCCCTCCTCCCTATGACTTCCCCTCATATATTTATACAAGGCTATCATGCCAAGCTCAACTGTGTCCTGGGAAGGCTCACCAAAATGCTGGGTTGTTGTGAGTTTTTTGGGCTGTATGGCCATGTTCCAGAAGCATTCTCTCCTGATGTTTCACCTGCATCTATGGCAGGCATCCTCAGAGGTTGTGAGGTCTGTTGGAATCTAGGAAATTGGGGTTTATATATCTGTGAAATGTCCAAGGTGGGAGAAAGAACTCTGTTCTGTTTGAGGCAGGTGTGAATGTTGCAACTGATCACCTTGATTAGCATTTAATGACTGTGCAGTTGCAAGGTCTGGCTGCTTCCTGCCCGGGGGCATCCTTATTGGGAGGTGAATAGCTGGCCCTGATTTTTCCTTGTCTGGAATTCCCCTAATTTTCCATATTTTTCTTTATTTAATGTTTTAAATAAAGTGATTTTTAATACTGGTAGCCAGATTTTGTTCATTTTCATGGTTTCCTCCTTTCTGTTGAAATTGTCCACATGCTTGCGAATTTCAATGTCTTCTCTTTGACATGGTGGTTGTGAGAGTGGTCCAGCATTTCTGTGTTCTCAGATCATATGCCGTGTCCAGGTTGGTTCATCAAGTGCTCTGCTATGGCTGACTTCTCTGGTTGAAGTAGTCTGCAGAGCCTTTCATGTTCCTTGATTCTCCCACCCTGGACTTTGCAGAGATATATAAACCCCATTTTCCTAGTTTCCAACTGACCTCACAACCACTGAGGATGCCTGCCATAGATGCAGGCGAAACATCAGGAGAGAATGCTTCCGGAACGTGGCTATTCAGCCTGAAAAACTCACAACAATCCTGTGATTCTGGCCATGAAAGCCTTCGACAATACATTCTTACCAAAATGGTCAAATGTCTGGAAGTTAAGCCCTATGAGGAGTTATTATTGAAGGCTTTCATGGCCAGAAGCACTGGGTTGTTGTATGTTTTTCGGGCTATATGGCCATGTTCTAGAAGCATGCTTCTAGAACAGTGTTTCTCATCCTTCCTAATCCCGCGACCCCTTAATACAGTTACTCATGTTGTGGTGACCCCCAACCATAAAATTATTTATGTGTCATTTTGCTCCTGAATCGTAATGTAAATAATTGATAAACAGGATGTATTTTCATTCACTGAACCAAATTTGGTACAAATATCTGATACGCCCACATTTGAATGCTGGTGGGGTTGGGGGGGGGGGTTGATTTTGTCACTTGGGAGTAGTAGTTGCTGAGATTTATAGTTGACTTACAACCAAAGAGCACACTGAACTCCACCAATGATTGAATTGAACCAAACTTGGCACACAGAACTCCCACGGCCAACAGAAAATACCGGAAGGGTTTGGTGGCCATTGACCTTGAGTTTTGGAGTTGTAGTTCACCTACATCCAGAGAGCACTGTGGACTCAAACAATGATGGATCTGGACCAAACTTGGCACAGATACTCAACATGCCCAAATGTGAACAGTAGTGGAGTTTGGGGAAAACAGACATTGACATTTGGGAGTTGTAGTTGCTGGGATTTATAGTTCACCTACAATCAAAAAGCATCCTGAACCTCACCAATGATAGAATTGGGAACACAGAACCCCCATGACCAACAGAAAACACTGTTTTCTGATGGTCTTCGGTGACCCCTCTGACACCCACTCGTGACCCCCAGGTTGAGAAACTCTGTTCTAGAACATAGCCCGAAAAACATACAACCACCCTATGAGGAGTTGTTTAGGAAGCTGGGTATGTTTAGCTTGGAAAAGAAAGAAGGCTGAGAGGGGACAGGATAGCCATGTGGAAATATTTGAAAGGATGTCATAGTGACCCCTTTGACACTCCCCCCAGGGGTCCTGACCCCCAGGTTGAGAAAACTGTTCTAGAACATGGCCATATGTTCTAGAACACGGTTCTAGAACATTTGCCACCACAACAATGTGATGTGGCGGCAAAAAAAGCCAATGGGATTTTGGCCTGCATCAATAGGAGCATAGTGTCTCTAGAGATCCAGCAAAGTCATGCTACCCCTCTATTCCGCTTTGGTTAGACCACACCTGGAATATTGTGTCCAATTCTGGGCACCACAATTCAAGAGAGATATTGACAAGCTGGAATGTGTCCAGAGGAGGGCGACTAAAATGATCAAGGTCTGGAGAACAAGCCCTATGAGGAGTGGCTTAAGGAGCTGGGCATGTTTAGCCTGAAGAAGAGAAGGCTGAGAGGAGATATGATAGCCATGTATAAATATGTGAGAGGAAGCCACAGGGAGGAGGGACCAAGCTTGTTTTCTGCTTCCTTGGAGACTAGGACGCGGAACAATGGCTTCAAACTGCAAGAGAGGAGATTCCATCTGAACACGAGGAAGAACTTCCTGACTGTGAGAGCTGTTCAGCAGTGGAACTCTCTGCCGCGGAGTGTGGTGGAGGCTCCTTCTTTGGAAGCTTTTAAACAAAAGCTGGATGGCCATCTGTCAGGGGCGATTTGAATGCAATATTCCTGCTTCTTGGCAGGGGGTTGGACTGGATGGCCCATGAGGTCTCTTCCAACTCTTTGATTCTATGATTCTATGATTCATATAGCCCGAAAAACATACAACAACCTTATGAGGAGTTGCTTTGCTTGGAAACGAAAGAAGACCGAGAGAGGACAGGTTAGCCATGTGTAAATAAATATTTGAGAGGATGTCACATCGAGGAATGGACAAGCTTGCTTTGGAGACTGGGACACAATGGAGCAATGGATTCAAACAGCACCTCAACATTTGGAGGAACTTCCACTGTGCAATAGTGCATGGGGAAGCTTGGGCCTTGCTGGTGTTTTGGACTCCAACTCCCACCATTCCTCACAGCTTCAGGCCCGTTCCTTTTCCCCCTCAGCCGCTTAAGCGGCTGAGGGGGAAAAGGAAAGGGCCTGAAGCTGTGAGGAATGGTGGGAGTTGGAGTCCATAACACCTGCAGGACCCAACTTTCCCCATGTCTGCAATAGTGGAATAAGCAGCCTCCCAAGGGGGGTGGGGTGGGGGTGGAGTGTCCCTCTCTGGAGGTCCTAAACCCACCCTTCCCCTCTGCCTGCTTGTGGGCATCATGCATAGAAGGCCCCAGCAGCAAAGTATTAGGGCAGAATTAATTAATACCATCTGATTCCACTTTAATCTCCAGGGCTCAGGGCTCTGGAATGCTGGGAGTTGCAGCTCTGCAAGGATTCCATGGCAACTCCCTCGAGGCCAGGCATCTCATCAGGCTGTATTTTCCTCCCTAGAGACCAGAATGGGCCTTGTTTGGGTGGCTGGACTTACCAGGTACCAAATCCCGAGGATGATAGTGCCGGTGCGGACATGGCAGCACAAGCAGCAGCTGTTGGAGTAGAAGCGAGCCCAAGGGGAGCTCAGCAGCTTCATGGCGCCCGCCTGAGAGGCCTCCAGCCTGCGCGGTTTCCCTCCTGCAGCCGGTCAAGGAGAAGGAAGGAGCGACCGCTCAGCGACGCAGCAAGGCGAGGAATGAGCCAGATGCGCGGCCCATCAGCTGAGAGCAGAAAGGGGCGGGGCAACACCATACCTCTGTTCCATGACGTCACCGCCTCAATCCTTCCCCTCCCTGGCGCAAAAGGGGAGGGCCTTCGAACTCAGCCGCGCCAATGAGAGAAGGGCAAGGAAAATAAAAGATCCCGCCCCTTAGTGGGCGGAGCTTGTGTAGAAGCTCCGCCCACTCAGGTGCCTTTTCTTTCTTCCTCTCCCTTCCAAGGGACTTTCTACACAGCCCTATATCCCAGAATATTGGTGGACAGGAAAAGAGATTTAATGATGGGCTCAAAGTCAACCTTAAAAACCCTGGAATTGGGAAGCCCTGGCCCTTGAGCACTCCAGCTGGAGGTCAGCTGTGACCAGCAGTGCTGCAGAATTTGAAGAGGCATGAAAGACGTGCCAAGAGGAAGGCGCGTCAAGCCAACCCTGACCAGGACCGCCTTCCACTTGGAAATATATATATATATATATATATATATATATATATATTCAGTATTTATATTCCGCCCTTCTCACCCCGCAGGGGACTCAGGTTGGATTACAGTGTACACATATATGGCAAACATTCAATGCCTATTGACATACAAGGTGAAGTATCATAGCAATGAAGATGGAGAATAGAGTTGGGGCAATAACACATCCCTGTTTGACACCCGATTCCACCTTAAATGGGTCGCTTTGGGAGCCATTGCTGTCCAAGACTGTTGCCATCATGGAGGAGCCGCAGGATGTTCACAAATTTGTTTGGGCACCCAATTTTTTGGAGGATGGTCCAGAGAGCGCTGCGATTCACTGTGTCGAATGCCTTTGCAAGGTCGATGAATGCCATGACGGGAAGCTTCCCACCGGAGTGGAAGTCATCTATTGGACAGATGGCAAGCTGTTTAACCTCAGCAGACTGAAAGCCAAAACCAAGGTTACAACAACATCTGTTATAGAACTCCAGTATGCTGATGACAATGTCGTCTGTGCGCATTCAGAAGAAGATCTACAAGCCACTCTAAACACCTTCGCAGAAGCATACACGAAGCTTGGCCTGTCACTGAACATCGAGAAAACCAAAGTGCTGTTCCAGCAGTCACCAGCCATCCCCTCCCCAATGCCAGAGATACAGCTTAATGGTGTAACATTAGAAAATGTTGACCATTTCCGCTACCTTGGCAGCCACCTCTCCACCAAAGTCAACATCGACACCGAAATACAACACCGCCTGAGCTCTGCGAGTGCAGCATTTTCCCGAATGAAGCAGAGAGTGTTTGAGGACCGGGACATCCGTAGGGATACCAAGGTGCTTGTCTATAAAGCTATTGTCCTCCCAACCCTGCTATATGCCTGCGAAACGTGGACTGTCTACAGACGTCACATGCAACTCCTGGAACGATTCCATCAGCGCTGCCTCCGGAAAATCCTGCAAATCTCCTGGGAAGACAAGCCATCAACTCCGCTGGGCCGGCCACGTTGTCCAGATGCCTGACCACCGCCTCCCAAAGCAGTTGCTCTACTCTGAACTTAAGAACCGAAAACGGAATGTTGGTGGACAGGAAAAGAGATTGAAAGATGGGCTCAAAGCCAACCTTAAAAACTCTGGCATAGACACTGAGAACTGGGAAGCCCTGGCCCTTGAGCGCTCCAGCTGGAGGACAGCTGTGACCAGCAGTGCTGCAGAATTCGAGGAGGCACGAGTGGAGGGTGAAAGAGAGAAATGTGCCAGGAGGAAGGCACATCAAGCCAACCCCGACCGGGACCGCCTTCCACCTGGAAACCAATGCCCTCACTGTGGAAGAAGATGCGGGTCAAGAATAGGGCTCCACAGCCACCTACGAACCCACAAGGAAACGCATAATGGAAGACCATCTTACTCGTCCAACGAGGGATCGCCTAAGTAAGTAAGTAAGTAAGGAGCTTGTGTGGAAGCTCCGCCCACTCCGCCAACCTCCTACACAGCCCTATATCCCAAAATGTTGGTGGACAGGAAAAGAGATTTAATGATGGACAAGTTAAACATGAGCCAACAATGTGATGTGGCGGCAAAAAAAGCCAATGGGATTTTGGCCTGCATCAATAGGAGCATAGTGTCCTAGATCTAGGGAAGTCATTCTACCCCTCTATTCCGCTTTGGTTAGACCACACCTGGAATATTGTGTCCAATTCTGGACACCACAATTCAAGAGAGATATTGACAAGCTGGAATGTGTCCAGAGGAAGAGGGCGACTCAAATGATCAAGGGTCTGGAGAACAAGCCCTATGAGGAGCAGCTTAAGGAGCTGGGCATGTTTAGCCTGAAGAAGAGAAGGCTGAGAGGAGATATGATAGCCACGTATAAATATGTGAGAGGAAGCCACAGGGAGGAGGGAGCAAGCTTGTTTTCTGCTTCCTTGGAGACTAGGATGTGAAACAATGGGTTCAAACTACAAGAAAGGAGATTCCATCTGAACATCAAAGAGCGTTCTGAACTCCACCAACAATGGAATTGACCAACAAAAAACAAACAAAAAACAAAAAACAAACAGAAGGGTTTGGTGGGCACTGACCTTGAGTTTTGGAGTTAGAGTTCACCTACATCCAGAAAGCACTGTGGACTCAAACAATGATGGATCTGGACCAAACTTGGCATGAATATTCAACATGCCAAGATGTGGACAAACATTCAACATGCCAAGATGTGAACACTGGTAGAATTTGGGGAAAATAGACCTTGACATTTGGGAGTTGTAGTTGCTGGGATTTATAGTTCACCTACAATCAAAGAGCAACGATAGAATTGGGCCAAATTTCAAACTAGATATATAATTCATTTAAAGTGCTACACCGAAAGTAAACCAAAGAATTCAGAAGAAAAACAATAATAATAACATTAATAATAATTAAAAAAGAAAAGAAAAGAAAAAGAAAAAAAGAAATCAATGAACAAAGAAGACACTTCCCTGTAGACCGAACGGGAGTCTGAGGATCTATACCCTCCACCACCCCTTTCCCTCCTTCAGACCTTCCCCTCCCCTTCTTCCCCCCGCCCGGAACCCCCCCCCCTCATAACTCTATCCTCTTGTTTTTTCCCACCCTTTCTATCCAGTTAATTGTTCCCACTCTTTCACTGTATAAAGAGAAAATTCAAAAAAAATAATAATAATAATAAAAAAAGAATTGGGCCAAATTTCCCACACAGAACCCCCATGACCAACAGAAAATACTATGTTTTCTGATGGTCTTTGGTAACTCCTCTGACACCCCCTCATGACCCCCCCAGGAGTCCCGACCCCCAGGTTGAAAAACACTGGAATAGATTGTTGTGGGGTTTCTGGGTTGTATGGCCGTGTTCTAGTAGCATTTTCTCCTGATGATTTGCTTGCATCTGTGGTTGGTGTCTTCCGAGGAAACCACTCCAACACTCCAGCCATGAAAGCCTTCAACAATTCAAGAGTCTTTTGTGCCAGTTTAGGGCAGTGTTTCTCAAACTTTAGTCTTCCAGGTGTTTTGGACTTCAGTTCCCAGAATTCTTGACTGTTAGCCAAGCTGGTTGGGGGCTCTGGGAGTTGAAGTCCAAAACATCTGGAAGGCCAAAGTTTGGGAAACGTTGCTTTATAGACGGGAATTTGCAACACCTCTTTAATGGCATATGTGTTTTTTCGTACACTAATTCAGTGTTTCTCATGGTATCTCTGTACATAGGATGAATTAGAGCAGTGTTTCTCAAACTGCTCCTCTGGGTGTTTTGGACTTCAGCCCCCAGAATTCCTAACAGCCGGGATTTCTGAGACTGAAGTCCAAAACACCTGGAGGAGTACAGTTTGAGAAACACGCTCTATTTCATCCTATGTATAAAGATGTGTAGGATTCTAGTGGGATTCGTTGTAAACTAGATCATATGGCCATGAATGAAATCAAGAATATTTGTGGGCAATTCTAGTCTATCAGATGCTGCAAGATTATTTAAGCAGAGGCTGTATGGCCATCTGTCAGGGATGCTTTGATTCTGCATTCCTGCATAGCAGGAGGTTGGACTGGATAGCTCTTTGGGGCGTTTTCCAACTCTGTGAGCCTATAATTGCTGCTCCTGTTGCTTGTTATGTGTTTTAATTGTTCTGTAACCCACTTTGAGGAGAGACAGGTAAGAAATAAATTTATTATTATTATTATTATTATTATTATTATTATTATTATTATTATTAATTTGAAACACAACAAGATGAGTCCACAACAGACACTCTGCTGGCTGTTGAATTGGATCACATGTCGAACACTTCCTAAGTGTCTAGGACTGTGTGATGTATCAGTGAATAATGCGTGCAGATCCCAGTAAGATGGCCTTCTGCAGCTGGCAGATGGTAATTTTGTCAGCGCCGATTATGTTTATGTGCAGGCCAAGGTCTTTAGGCACTGTACCAAGTGTGCCGATCACCACAGGCACCACCTTTACTGGTTTATTGTGCCAGAGTCTTTGCAGTTCAATCTTTAAATCCTTTAAATCAGCTTTTTCAGTTGTTTCTCTGCGATCCTGCTGTCATCTGGGATTGCGACATTGATGATCCATACTTTGTTTTTTAACACAGTCGTGAGGTCAGAAGTATTATTATTATTATTATTATTATTATTATTATTATTATTACTCAGTGCTTTGCTGTTAAGTCACAGCCTAGCTTATCCCTTTTATAGCCCACCGCTGTGCGTATATGGATTCATTCCTGCCCGGCTGTGGACGTAATTGGGTTTCTGTGGAAACGTAACTGCATTTGCAATGAATGGCAAGAGTGATGTGGCGTCTGACTGGGAGGTGCCTCCATAGGCAAGCCTTTGTGGTGATTCTGACCTTGATTGCTTAAAAGGAGACGCAAAATGAATTCAGGCTGGAGGAGCTAATAATGAAGTTGGTGGCAATGCATGGCTCTACAATTATATCAGTTATCTATTCTTAGAATTTATAAGGCAGAAAGGCATCTGGAAGGTCATCTAATTACATGCATATCTCTGTCCAAGAGTGTCATAGAGTTGTAAGGGAGTGTAAGGCCCATCTAGTCCAATCTGCCAGCCATACAGA